TCTCAACAGGAATCTATGAATTTGAGAGAAAACTAAATATTTTCTGCATCATTGAATAAGGAAATTTTCTTCATCAAGAAAATAATATGAAATTGAAATCTTAGTATATCTCATCTTTTTAAAACAAAACTCAATACGTTAAATTCTCTCAGGGATCATTCTCTATAAAGAGTGTTGCTGCTTGGATACTTCCAATTTCAGATAAAAATAATAGAGAAATTATATTTAAATTTGGAAATATGTAAGCCATGAAACAATCTATGGACATTGCTATAAAACTGAAATAAATAAGTCTTAGAATATTCAGAGGCAATATTTAAATCTCCAGAACAACTCTAAAGTAATAAGAAACATATTTAGGGGTGCCTGGGTGGCTCAGTCAGTTGAGTGTCTGATTTTGTTTGGCTCAGGTCATGATCTATCTGACGGTTTGTGAGTTTGAGCCCCACATCGGGCTCTGTGCTGACAGCTAGCTCAGAACCTGGAGCCTATTTCAGATTCTGTATCTCCCTCTCTCTCTGACCCTCCCCTGTTCATGCTGTCTATCTCTCTCTCAGAAATAAATAAAACATTTGAAAAAAAAAAGAAACATATCTAAACACTTATTTTAAGACATGAAAAACAGAGAAAAGTCTCTGTCATTATTTCGTAGTGCAATTATTTCACTGAATATTCTCACACTTGAAAAATAATGGCAAAAGTTATTTTTTGAGATTATTAATTCAAATAGCAAATATTTCAAATCAGATGCTGTGGCACACATAATTCACTAGAGTTAAATTACTATTTAATAATGTAATTAATGTAAAATTATGTAAAAAGTTAACAAGAAGTAAACATAGAGGACCATATAGAAATAGAAACTCCACTGACATATTTTAATTTTTAATTTTTTTAGGTTTATTTATTTATTCTGAGAGAGGCAGAGAGAGCATGAACAGGAGAGGGACAAAGAGACAGGGAGAGAGAGAACCCTAAGCAAGCTCTGCGCTGTCTGCACAGAGCCAGATGTGGGGATTGAGCTCACAAACCACAAGATCATGACCTGAATAGAAGCTAAGAGTTGGATGCTCAACTGACTTAGCCACCCAGGTACCCCATCTACTTACAGATATTTTAGAATTACTAGTCATTTATAAAATGAATACCAAAATAGTAGTGAAATAGATATTATACATTCTTAAAACATTTAGATTGTAATTATCCCTTCTTGAAAGTTACTGAAAACCTGAGTCTTCATAACTGGTTTGCATTACTCATTTAAATGATAAAGGATGAAGAAGTTTCTAAATTAAATTTCTTGTCCTCTATTCGCTAGTTATCACAGGCATCTATTGATTCTTTGAAATTTAGACTAAAACATTTAAAGAGCCATATCTGATTTTTTGTTTTCATTTCTCTGTGGTAAATGGCATACAATTTGCTCCATAAATAAGATTTAAATAGTTTCTGACAATGTGGCAGACTAACATGGGCTGCTGGCTTTTCCTCCTTTACCCACATCTGAAGAATCAAAATTATAAAGAAATTAAAAAGAATTGAAAACTTTCTTATGACTTTCTTATGGCTAGTTAGTACAAATGGCACTTAGCTGGTGGTAGGGTGGGTTCCAAAGACTCTAGGGCAGAAAAGGGTTAAAAAAAAAATGGTATTAACACATCTAGTGCCAAATACTGAGCTGAACTGAAAAGAAATTTAACAACAATTTTCATTTCTCTAATTGCTATTTCTAGTTGAATTACTATCAGCTTCACAACATATTGGTAGATTTTATTTTATTTTACAATTACTACCTCACTCAAGAGAGATGAAAGTCTATCTGAGGTAAGCTGGTGTTCACCAGCACTGTTTTTGCTTTGTTTATTGAGCTGGGCGCCTCATCCAGTTCTGGGCTTGAGCATAGGATTGGGATCAGCATAAGCAGACAAACAATGTTGGAGGAAAGAAAAAAAACAATGAAGATTTTGGTAATCAAAATTAAGATCTGATCAACCACGTGCCTAGATCCTTCCACAGAATATTTGAGTTCTGGAGATGCTCAAGAGGCCAGAAACCTAGACTGTTACAGTCTTTTTAAAAGGAGAGTGAAATTCCCTGCATTGTCACTGTGCTCAAGGAAGAACACATATAGCTAGTCTTTGTTTACAGATATATCCCGAAGATTTGTTTCTCAATTGGGTAGGAGAATAGAAACACAAACTGGAGAAATGCTTAAAAATAATGATGAGTGGGGGCGCCTGGGTGGCTTAGTCGGTTAAGCGTCCGACTTTCGCTCAGGTCATGATCTCACGGTTCGTGGGTTCGAGCCCCACGTCGGGCTCTGTGCTGACTGCCAGCTCAGAGTCTGGAGCCTGTTTCAGTCTGTGACTCCCTCTCTCTCTGACCCTCCCCTGCTCACGCTGTCTCTCTCTCTCCTAGAAATAAATAAAACATTAAAAAAAATTTTAAAAAAATAATGATGAGTATTCTGTAGTCTTTTAAGGGTGAAGCCACAAAAACCTGACAAAGTCTCAATCAAAAGCCCAAGAGCCCATGCTCAACAGACAGGAATGAAGCAGAGATATACAAATATCCTCAATTTTCACCTAACAGTGTCCCTGCTTGGATTGAAGTGATATCCTTGTGCTATCTGTATAACAGATGAGTGAGAGAATCTTCTCTGATGAAAAAAAACAAAAAAAAAAACATATTTAGGATTCTCTACAGTGACTGTGTTTTTTTGAAGATTTTTTAAAGTTTATGTATTTATATTTTTGAGAGAGAGAGAGAGAGAAAGCACAAGTGGAGGAGGGACAGAAAGAGAGGGAAAGAAAAAATCCTAAGCAGGCTCTGTGCTGTCAGCGCAGAGCCTGATGCAGGGCTTGATCTCATAAACCATAAGATCATGACCTGAGCAAAAATCAAAAGTTGGGTGCTTAACCCATTGAGCCACCCAGATGCCCCTATAGTACCTTTAAGTTTACAGTTTAGCTACATAAAAACTAGTAGACATTCAAATAGATGAAAATATGATGGATATTGTAGAGAAAATTAACAATAAGAACAAGTGTGAATATGGTCAAGAATTTCAACTTAGCAGAAAAATGGATAAAACTCAGCCTAATACAGTGAAAAAGATATATGAAATTAAGGCCAAAATAGGTGAAAGTAGAATTTTACAAGAAATTTGGCATCTTTAGAATAAGCATCTTTAGCCACATTCTAGAATGGAAAAATTCAATATCAGAAATTAGCTCAAGATACAGAATAAACACCTGATGAACACAAAAAATATTTAGATAAATAAATAAATGAACTGAAGAAACCAAAGAAAAATACAGTAGAAAGAAAATGTGGAAATGCAAGGGGGAATTCAAAGAGATTATTAATGAAAACAAATGTGAAAAATAACCAATTCAAGATGATTGAACCTACAGCAGGATAAATCCAAGCCACACTTTGGTATATCATGGCAAAATTCCTGAAAATCAAAGACGTTTTAAATCATAAAAATAGCTAAAAGTAAAGGTACACCGTTCTAAAACAAGCAATAATAACACTATCACATCTTAAGAGCAACAAGGAGAATGAAGAGACATTGGAAAAATTCTCTTAAACACTGAGGGTAAAAAAACGGTACATTTAATGTCTAAGAATTTTAAAGATAAAAGATATTATAGGTGTTATGCCAATAAATGTAATAAAGCCATCATGAGACTGCTCAAAAAAAAAAAAAAAAAAGACTCTGGAAACTGCTCCTATGTGGTTTTTAACAAGATATTTGATTCTTAGTCCACTATCACTTTTCTTATTTTCATTATTTTCAGCACAAGTGTCAGATCAAAATGGAGTACTTAAAAAAATTTAAACACAGCACAAGAACTGAAATATATACAAATTGATAACCTGAGTACTTATCATAACATGCATTACTACCAAAGGGAACAAATTTAAAAGACCAGCCACAATTTGAAGGGAAATATTTTTGGCTAATATAATTCATAAGGAACTAACAAGAAAAGTTATACAGTAGGTAAAAAAAAAAAAAAAAAGAAGGAAAAGAAAAGAAAAGCAAACCATAGAAGAAAATCGACACAAGATTTGAACAGATATATGACAAAACCATTGTGGCAAATGGTCCATAAATATGTGACAGATTGTTCAAATGTGTTAGTGATCAGGGCACTGAAAATTAAAACCAGAAAAAAATTTAAAAATTAAAAACACACTTTAGGTTTTGTTAGAATTTAAACTCCTGGAACATTTATTCATTGTTGATGGGAATATAAATTGGCACTACCTGGCATATTTTAACTATCTCATACCTCATAGCCTAGCAATTCAACTTTAACAGAGGTATTTAACTTAGTACTGGGAGAGTTCCAAATATGCTTATAGATATGCATTGTTTTTAAAGGCATAAAACTAAAAACAGGTCATATGTCATGAAATGGAAATCACAAAAATAAAAGAGATAAGTGCATTGTTATATGCTCATTCAACAAATTTGAACAGGTGCCTGGATGAATGGAATGAGAAAGCTTTGCATATATCTTGAGTTAAAAGCTTTTCAAACAGAAGGAATCGCTAAAGTAAAGGTGAAAAATGTGCACTTGACATATTGAGGATTTACAAAGTAGCCAGAGAATTACAGCAGATTAGGAGAGGTGAAGAGGTAGAAGGGCAGGTCATAGAGGTGATGAAGAAGAGAAAGTTCATATATATCTTGCGGCTGTTACCAGAATGGATTCCAGTGCATAGTTTTGAGCAATACTGTGGAATTATCTGATTTAAGCTTTAGCAGGATCATTTTAAAACATAATTATGGTAGGATAATTTACAAGCACGCAAATATGTTTCCAATGAAAATATTTCTAAGTAAGTGAGCTTTTTATAATGTAAGTGAGGTTTCATAATGATGAACTATGTGGGGTAAGTAGTAAGAAGACAATTTAGATGTTGAAGGATCTAAACTTTTAAGTAGGGAAAAGGGTATGGAAAGAATGAATCCAGAAGACAATTAAAGGGTGATAGGATTGAGAAAGTGTGGGTGTCATCCTTGAGCAGGGCCATGCCAATCTTCTCTGTATCATTCCAATTTTAATTCATGTGCTGCCAAAGTGAGCAGAGGTTTGATAAAGTTTAAAACTTTACTGTTATACATAAAAGATGATGAGTAAATAAAAAATTATACTTTCTTCATGATGCAATTATTTAACATTATAATATTTTATTTCTTTCCACACTGATCAATAGATTAAATGTAATCCCTATTACAGTAATAGGAATATTTTACTGATGACCTCAACAATTTACTGTAGAAATTTTATGGATGTGTAAAGTTCACGAATACTTATTATCACAAAATAATAGTAAAAACAATATAGTCTTATCAGTGACATTAACAATGAACCAGTATTAGATGAATGTGCATATGAGAAATTGGAATATGATAAAAATGATACCACATACCAGTGGGAAAGAGGTGAATTTTGCTGAATCATTTGGGAAAAGTTATCATTTAGGACAAAAATTATTTAGAGAAAACTGAGGCTAAACATGTATGCTATATTATATAGAAAAAATATACCCCACTGACTAATTGTCAAAATGTGAAGAAAAAACTGTTAGGGTAATCAAAGAAAATTCAGACAATTTAGTTCTTATGTAGGGGTAGAGATTCATGTATTAAACAAATCCCCAAAGAATATATCATAAGCAAAATCATGAATTTGACTACATACATACAAAATAAGAATTTCTGTTCAAAAACAGCTTTCTTGAATAACAGGATGAGAAAATATTTGTGCCATATAAATCTGAAAATGATTAATCTCTGGAATAAAAGTTGTTCTCCATAAACTCAAAGTAAATATTAGAAAATTAGGAATAGTAAATAAACAGGAAATTCATTAGTGGGGAGATCTATAGACCTGGTAAGTCTATTGCTATTTTAGGAAATGAATGTCTCATATATTGCTTACAAGTTTCTAGGACGATATAGCCATTCTGGAGGTCACTCTCAGAAGAAAAAGAAAATAATGAACTAAGGCAAGTATTTACTCTAGGATTCAATAATTCATCCTGCACATATATGAATGGATATGCTTGCCCAAGTCCGTAAGGAACATTTGTGGAGATTTCCTTTTATGTAGTTTTGTGAAATTGATTACTGGAAATAATGTGCATCCCCACATTGGGAGGAAGACAGGTAAACTGTGATTAATGGATACAAAGCAACATTCTCAGCTATTATAAGCAGTTAATTTATAAGAAGTGTAACATGACTGGAGTACATAATGGTATGTACATTACATAATGCTGAGAAAATTACATAATGCTATATAACATAATGTTTAGTGAAAGAGTAAAAAATATTTTCCAACATATAAACTAAAATTTAAAATCCTCTATATTTAAAATGATACAGATGTATTGTAAAATATTTATCAAATACATTGAAGTATATACTTTGGAGAAGAGAGAAATAGTAATGTGACAACAGGAAATAAATAATAAAAAAAAACTGGATAGAGCATACTTCCATAGTCAATGGTAGTATAACATTAATGTACATGTTTGACATCTAAATAAACATATGATATATACATAATCTTTCCTATTTTCTGCTATAATTTTTAGGCAAAACCGTATATTCTGTGTTTGTGTTATTTGTAGAATATTATACTTCTAAAAACTTTATAAGGATTTATGTACATTTGAACTAAAATTCTAGATTTTGTGGAAAGTGCTGTATTAACCAGAATTAACATAATTTACAAATTTTCCTGTTGTGCAAGTAAGTTATTTTCCTTGCATCATAGCTACATTACAAGTCTTATTTCTCTTCTTTGTAACTTTGAAAAAATATGGATAAAATTTTAACATTATTTTGAAAGAATTTCAAATATCTTCTTTTTTTGTTTTTTTTAGCTTTTATCTTATTACAACAAATGTGTTTTAAAAATAAAGAACTTTCGATGGGGCGCCTGAGTGGCTCAGTCAGTTGAACGTCCAACTTTGATTCACAGTCATGGGTTTGAGCCCCGCATTGGGCTCTGTGCTGACAGCTCAGAGCCCGGAGTCTGCTTCGGGTTCTGGGTCTCCCTCTCTCTCAGACCCTCCCCTGCTCACGCTGTGTCTCTCTCTCTCTTAGAAATAAATAAAACATTAAAAAAATAAAGTACTTTTGGGGTTCCTGGGTGGTTCAGTCGGTTAAGCATCCAACTCTTCAACTCTTCATTTCGGCATAGTTCATGGTCCCAGGGTCCTGGAATAGAGCCCCACATCGGGCTCTACACTGAAAGTGTGGAGTCTGCTTGGTATTCTCTCTCTCTCCCCCTCTCCCTCTCCCCTGCATACACACACTCTCTCTAAAAATGAAAGAAATCTTAAAAGAAATAAAGGACTTCCTCTTTGATGTTTCATTTAACAATGAGAAAGTCAGAGTTTGAGGCAGAAAGTGAGAGAAACCTATCCTGTGATTTCATATTTGATTCAAATTCCTTTTAATCCTTAGTCTCATAACAGTTCCCTGAAAACACAGTGGATTTAATATGAATTCAACAAACCAATATCTTTGTAAACACTGCTTTCTATTGTACTTCTAATAGTTTTAAATTGCTCCTACCAATAGAAATATGGTTTTAATAAAGCACAAACTATATTTTCTTCTCTAGAATTAATAAAATTTAACTACTTTTATATTGGTGGATTTCACTGTAAAGTTAATATTTAGAAATATTCCAGTATGTTTTTCATTTAGTTTGACCCTGAACAATGAAAGCTAACTAGCACTTTTCTTTTCCACTTTCAAATTGCTTTTTGTCTTGTCTTGAACTTGAATTTAGAAATGGCAGAATCTCAATAGAGGTAGAGGGTAATTTCCCACAAGACCTGGCTAATTTATAGCTTTCAACACACCAATGACCCCTACAATTTGGCAGTTGCTTCATTAATTCCTCTACACCTGCTCCATTTATCTTGCAAAAAAAAAAAAAAAAAAAAAAAAAGCCCAAACACAGATAAAAGGCACAATCCTCTCTCGCTGCAGCTATTGCGGAAGAAAAGTCCTTCATGTCTTTCTGACGTAAATTGTAACCATCATTATGGAGAATGAAAGGACAGTAGTGTCAGATGAATGCTCCCAGCTTGTCACTGGGATGAAGAAGGAACGTTTGAAGGGCCACATATTTTTGGAAGAAGTTTTTTCTTACCCTTTGAAATATTATGGCCATTCAGAGACTTCAGTTTTCACCAGGGTCTACCACCTGCGTCATACAATTTTAGAATGAAAAAAAAAATAGTCTGAGCTATTTTTAAAAATAATGTTTTCTTATAGTTGATGATAAATTATATAGGCTATCTACATATTTATCTCTCTCTTTCTCTATCATTTATCATCTCTCATCTATATCATCTATAAATCAAATGAAAAATATAAATCTATATTTTTTTTTTTTACAAATAGTTTATTGTCAAATTAGTTTCTACATAACACTCAGTGCTCATCCCCAAAGTGCCCTCCTTCATGCCCATTATAAATCTATATTTAATATATTTATAAGAACAAGCATTTTATTTCCATGGAATATAAACTGTAATGTGAGTACTTCTAGAAGCATGGAAAACATACTTTTCATCAATAAGGAGCTGCATTGATTACAAACAAAACATTTTTAGTGCAAAATTTAGGAAATCATCTATTTAACTGGTTGACTAACCAAGTACTTTTTTCCTTTTTTTTCCCCTGCAGTTATTTCTATCTTTATAGAGCGCAGGTTTCATAAAAATAAATATAATTTGTGTTTTTGTTCCTCTTTTAAGGTAAATGGTTTGACTTCTTGGTGTCTAGCAGGTGACTACATTTTAAGAAATAATTAAGATAATTAGTAAAATATACTAAGGAAGCCTTTTAAGAATTTGCATTATTAACACATATTAAAGGTAGATATAAATTTGAATTAGATATAGGTTTCCTCTTCAATATTCCTTTTTTTTAAATTATAGATTATTGAGAGTTGGTAATCACTGCAAAGATTGTGAATGTTTAATTCTTTGATAAGATCCCCATGCCAATTGCCAGGAGAAAGGTTTGAAGCTATTCCCATTCTTGTGTTACCTGGATATGGAGCTCACAAGTTCACACCATTGTTAGCAACAGAGGCTGAATAAGAACATAATAGTAAATCATATCACCTGTGTAGTCATCAAGATGGGAATGACTGAGAAATCATGCTAAATGTGATGGAGCATTGCGGTGTTTCTATAGTCAGTTTACATTATTAGGTATAAGAATTAGGGACAACTGAGTGGCTCAGTTGGTTAAGCGTCTAACTTCGGCTCAGGTCAGGATCTCACAGTTTGTAGGTTTGAGTCCCGCATCGGGCTCTGTGCTGATTATTCAGAGCCTGGAGCTTGCTTCAGATTCAGTAACTGCATTACTCTCTCTTTACTTTTTATTAATTCAAAATTACTTCCTACTTTATATTAAAATATACTTCTAAGTGTGGTGGATATCAACAGAAATAGAAATCTGAGAATTCTGCTTCTTTCATATGCAAAGTGTAATAAGACATTGATACAACTATTGGCAAGATAGTGTACCATTTTGTGATTTAGATAAACCAGTTTGTTATTCAGGAAATTGTGATTTATATAAATGAAAACTAGTTGTTGGAAGAATTGCCTTTTTTATGTGGAACTGGGCTGCTTCTTTATAAATAATTACAACCAGGTTTATAATTACTTATAAAATAATATCTAATGAAGTTATTTTAAAATGTCATTTACTATTTAAGTTCACTTCTATTAAAATGTTAATAAAATTCTTTTCTGGCCACACGGAAGTATACAGTTAGGCTAATAAATTTTATTTTTTTCTATTTGTAGGCACTTTAAATATAACAATTGTACAAAGAGAAATACAATTCAAATCAAATAAACAACTCATTCAGGAACATTGAGGTACTAGTGGACCAGAATCATGATTAAAATGTATAATCTAGAACAAGGACTAGAATCTTAGTGTATTAATTACCTATTACTGTGTAACAAATTATCCCCATACTTAATCATTGATATCAGGAAGCCAAAACCCTCATTTCTTCCATTTGAGAATTGTCTCAA